TTACAATCTACTGATTCGACAAGTTCGAAAATCTGAATAGGTAAAAATCTTGTGTGTCGAAGTGTGGGAACAGCTATTTGCTCGCCAACGTTGACGCCTTCTCGAAACGCCTGCGAGCATGCTCAAATGCTCGTGGTGGGGTACTCGTGGTATAATCGTTAATGCAGAATAAATGTTAGTTATTACTAGTTAATGTTAGTTACAAGTTATTATTCTTCTTTAGAAATGATATAAATCTAATGACATTTGTAGACTCACGGCTCAAACCAGTTTCTTTCCAGATTTTTTTGATGAACTTGAAGGGGTACTATTACAGTATTTACGGTATGAGAATCTACCCTAAGTTCTTATCTAGATTTAAAAATAGATAAGTTATTTTGAGAAATAATATCTCTGAAAAAGGACAGAACAAAAATTTTAATCGGAAAGCCATGGAAAACGTTTACTTTTGGCACAGAGTGTCTAGAGCTGATACAATAGGAAAATGAAAGAAAGAAAGAAAGAAAGAAGAAAGCAAGAAAGAAAGAAAGAAGAGAGAAAGAAAGACTGAGAAGATCAAAACATGGATAGACTTGAGATTTGAGAAGAGAAAGGGGAATCTTTGACCGAAGTAAGTAGGTCAACTCTGACCGAAAATTTCTCTATCTTTTTTATATTACAGTTTACTAAGCAACCTTAGAGGTTACTGATAAATGAGCCTAATCTATCAGCACTTATCCGTCCGGATAAGTGCTGACAAATGGACGGAATCTATCCGCACAGATCCGTCCGGATAAGTGATCACAAATGACGGAATCCATCAGCACCTATCCGGACGGATAAGTGCTGATAAATAGATCTAATTTATCAGCACTTATTCGGACGGATAAGTGCTGATGGATTCCGTCCATTTGTGATCACTTATCCGATGCGGATAGATTGGGGTAACATTTTTACCTGTGTGGGAGTGGTACCACATAGTGGTACCACTCCCACGCATGTGGTACCACTCATGTGGTACCACTCCCACCCATGTGGTTCCACATAGTGGTACCACTCCCACGCATGTGGTTCCACATAGTGGTACTACTATATATTACATGTGGTACCACTACATAATACCACGTAGTTGCAACATTTGTTTGAGGTAACATTTTTCTGTGAATACTTAAGGATTCCCTTAATAGTAAGTCCTGGGTTCCCAGAGTCTTGGGTACCCAATTTTGGTGAAGAAGTGAAAGAAATCTTGAAAAAGATCTCTACTACACAAATGGTGTAGAAGAGATCTTTCCTGAAAATTTCTCGCCTTCTACACCATTTGGTGAAGAAGAGATCTTTGCTGAAAATTTCTCGTCTTCTACACCATTTGGTGTAGAAGAGATCTTTGAAAATTTCTTGCCTTCTACACCATTTGGTGTAGTAGTGATCATTGCTCAAGATTTCTCGTCTTCTACACCATTACACCATTACCAGTCTTGGGTACTCCGAGTCTTGGGTACCCAGAGTCCTGGGAAGAAAGTAAAGAAATCTTGAAAAAGATCTCTACTACACAAATGGTGTAGAAGAGATCTTTGCTGAAAATTTCTCGTCTTCTACACCTTTTGGTGTAGAAGAGATCTTTGCTGAATAAGCCGCAAAAAGGTTTACATCTCAAATCTCGAAGAGACTGTTGTTGTTCGTGAGATTCGGGAAAAGTGGCAAAGATTACTGCAGAAGGAAAATTGAACTACTTTGGCTTTAACTTTAACTTTTGCTTTTGCTTTTACTTTTGCTCTAGGACTTCTAAAAGACTAAAAAAGAGTTCTTGAGCAGCTTTTAATGCAATTTGGCCTCAGATCAAGCTTTAGTTTTTGGTTGGTGACATTCAAAAACAAGCAAAAAGCTTCTGGCGTTCAAGTACAACATTTGATCAATACGATCAATCAAGTGACCAATCAAGTGACCAATCAAGTGACCGATCAATTGGCCAATACGATAGCTTAATATCAAATCAAATTTGCTTAGTAAAGAGTGTAATTACAAGCAATTTATGTTAATTATTTGCCAATTACTGGCCTTAATCAGAAGTGAAAATTTGTGTACTTTTTCAGAGCGATTTTTATCTATCGTAGACCCGTCGAATCAATTTTAATCATCTAATCATCAAATCTAATCACCTAAGCCTAAGCCTAAGCTGCAAAAAGCTACAAAAAGCTGCAAAAAGGTGTCTGTACATTCGTGTACAGGCGTCGAATCAAAATTTTGGCACATCAGAGCTTGTGGAAGCGAACGGACAGAGTTATATGCAAAGAAAAAATCAACAATTTTCTGTAATTTGACTTAGCCGTTTTGTCTTTCAAATTGGTTTTACACGCTGGTTATGTCAAAATTTGAATTCGAGACCCTCAAATTACCTAGAAAAACAACTTTTGGAATAGAAATTGGTTAATATTAGCTTTTAGAGCTTTTTTAAAACGAATGGGCTAGGAAAAATGGACATTAATTTTCAAAAAAAGAGGACCTCTAGAAAAGAAATTAGTGAGAGAAGACTCTAGTACAAGAAGAAGTACAAGTACAAGCTACGCAGCTGAAGAATGGATAAAAGTAAGTTTATGCAGAGGTTGACAAGTTTATGCAGAGGTTGGTTGCAGAGGTTGGAGTCGAACTTCTCCAGGGAATAGAATTCAATGATCTGGATACCAATGAAAGCATTCTTTGGTGAATGATAATGTTTTAAATTTGATTGACTGTTTTTGTAGCAAAATAGTCAAATAAATTCGTGTAAAACTTCTAATATACCTACATGTACGTCGATTTTTCAAATACCATCGAGTACCAAGATAATCACCGGATTTCTTTTGTTTTACAAAACTCGTAAACGCTTCTTGGCTTAATCAAATTTGTTTTAGTTGCAAAGAAGAATTTTTCCTTATCATTCTGCACTTGTTGCTGGTCCTGTCAGCGATTTTCTTTTAATTTTTTATTTCAAAACACCAACGATCCCAAAAACATCACTTTTCTTTTAGTGGAAAACGGAAAAGTATAAAAAACCCGCACAGGCTGTGGATTCTTTAGAGAAATTTTAAAACAAAGATGAGATATTTTGAATATCAAGTAAAATTGACAATGTTCTAGAAGAAAATAACAATTTGATTAAAGTGGATTGTAAAATTGGACTAGACGAGGAGTGGGACTTTGTAAGGACTTTGTCTAAGGCAAATTGGAACAAGATGAGAAGACACAGATTGAAATGAATGATGTTGGACTCAAGAATTAGGCTTGAAAGTGAGTAAGCTTAACAAGGAGACCATTTGATTGATGATTTTAAGGAAACAAGTTGGAAATGTGAAGGATTTTGTTTGAATTCGGTTTAGAACTGGCTGTCAATTGGAGCACATCGTCGGGGTTTTCCGTGAATACTGATGTGACGGGATTTGCTCGGTTGATGGGCATCTGTAGAGCGAATCACATGGAATCTCGGGAACTCAGCGCCTAGAAATTGGAGATGAATAAAGTGTAGATGAACTTTGATTATCAACCGATTAACAGCCGGAGTTGCATTAAGTTTGATCAAGTTTATCTTAGCCTTATTGACTATCAATGAGCCGATAAAATGAAGGAATTGGCAAGGAAAAGTTGTTAAAATTGAGTTTCCGGATGGCCTTTGGTTTTGTTCCACTTTTGTAACTTTGTGCAACATGATGCTAAAGGAAAAGTAAGAAAAATAGTTTTCATGATACTTAATTGCACCCTTGCATTCGCAAGCTTTGTTGCGGCCAAGATAGATCGGACGAATATTCTTTAAAGTTTTCACAGCATCCTCAGAGTGGCGATTTTTGGTGATATACTAAACAAAAAATTATCAAAGCTATCCAAGGTTCAAGCTCAAAAAAGAAAATCTTCACCTTAAAGCGAGGCATCGCTTTCCAATCGCCTGACCAGTTTTCGATGAAAATTTTGGCTGCCTTTCCATCAATAATTGTGTTCCAGTTGAATTCCCTTTTAAGCAGTAGCCATCGCCATTTTGCATCTTTTAGCTGGAGGAAAAACCGGGGGAAGCTAAAGCATAAACTAATTTCAACATTGAACTTTAAACTGACTCTTTTTGCTTATTGAGGAGCTTCATTATTATCACTCGACATTCCTCAATCGAGCAAATTTAAGCTAAATTTTGTTGGAAATTGGTGCCCACTCAAAAATAGCTATAACCATCGAATTTTCTTTGAAATCTAATAGATAAAATTATTTGTGTACTTGTATTAAAGGTGGTGAAAAACTGCTAAGTAATGAATAACTCGATTCCTTTCCAGTACTGTACTGCAAGTTCGCGAAGGATGGCTCAGGCTAAGCCCCATGGAGGGCCCGTCCCACTTACCCTGTCCCGGACCCGCTTAAGTGCACGAGCACGAGCACGCTTAGTGCACGAGCAGTCTTGCTCTTTTCCCGCTTTGTCTAAACAATTCTTTTATTAAGGCAACTTTAAAGTTATGCTTTCAGTTTTAGACTGAATTTTATGATGGTTCTGTCATGAAATGTTAGAAGCCTAAAGGTAATCGGGTTTTGTGATTGTGGAGCCTATCGATGTTGGTCTCATGTGGAGCCTATCGATGTTGGTCTATCCAACTTCATGCCTACATAAAAAACTATAGAATATAAACTTTATAATACTAAACTAATCTAGCGGATGTGGCTCTGGGTGCTGCAGTCAGGCCCATACGCAACTTTGACACGGTGGCGGTGCGGAGCCAAATCCTGGGCTAACAATAAAAAGGCTAACTTAAAAATGTTTTCTGGTAGTCGATGTTATCAATCACCCTAGAAAACGCACATTGAAACATTTTGGCTGCCCGTCCCCAACCGCCTTAGTTCCCAAGTTTTGAATGCAAAATTTAAAGATAAATTTTTAAAACGTAGACTAACCGTTTGTAACATTGGATTTTGACGTCGCTTCTTTCCGGCAGCAGTCTCTCGCGCAGACTAAAAGAAAACAAATAATCAGTTGCCGGCACATAATCAACTGTGATAATTTTACCAAAATTAGGAACCGGAGATGGAAAAGCGTAAGCGAATACCTCATCTTCATCGTTGCTTCTATCGCTGTCCGCCGTTCCTTGTTCTTTCGCTCGTTGTCGCCGATGTACTCTCTTCTTGCCGGCTTTGCTGACAACCGGCTTTGACTCCTCTTTGACGCTTGACATGGAACTAAAATTAAAAGCAAATCGTAAGAAAACAAGGAAAATAATGATCATAAATAAAGTGGCTGAAAAGACACGGAAATTTCAAAATCTGAAGAAAGAAGCAACCAATAATAAAATTTGTTTGGAGTAATAACTTAGCTTTTTGGATTTTTAATCTTTTTCGTTATTGTAGCACTAGGTTATTTCGTTGCTAGGTGTTTAAAAGTCCTGAGACCGTTGCATAACTTTTTTCACTTAGTTTCTATATCTTAGTTTCTAAGGAAAAGAAAAAGAGAAGACAAGAGAAGGCTAGGCAACATTTGCTGTCTTTCATTGGATTTCTTTTTTAGACTTTGAGAGTCAAACATCTAAATCGGAAAAGAATCATTTAGGTAAATTTTCGCTACAAGATGTTGCACCTTATTTTTGTTTTTTAGCCTTACGTTTTATATTCTTTGTAGAAATCATGCAACGTCGAATGTAATGAGAATCCAAAAATAGAGAGATTTATTTTTTGCAGCTTTTAATCTCAAGGCAAGGATGAAGTCCGCGATTTACCTGGCTGCCTAGCAACAGTCCGGTTCTAATGTTTGCTATTAATTGGGGACTTTTTGTTAGTCTAAAAAGTTAGCCAAAAATTCTTTGGACACTTTGTCGTAAATCTGTTTTTAAGCTTATGAATTGATTAATAGTTTGCTTCAAATAGAAGATTTTTATTGCTATAAAACGTATAAAAGATATCAAGGGCGAGAGAATTTGAACCGAGAAACATTGAAGAAAAAGATCACTTGCGAAGAAGAAAAGAAAAAAAAGAAGAAAAAGATTATTTGCGTTTTTCCAGTAGTTCGATTAGGTGGTCGGGTTTTGAATGCGAATTTTTCGCAAAAATATTTTTTTACAAGAGAACGAAGCTATTCAAATTACTCCGGTTGTACCATTAGAAAGGTAAATCTGTGTTCTGGGTTTTTTTGGAGCGATTTTGAAAAGCTTCTGTTTTGAGGATTTTTCGGGGACGCAAAGACAAGTATTTAGAATCGTCAAAAATCGAAAATTGCCGACAAATATTTATTTTGGGGAATCTAGTTGGAATGTTTTTACTCAACTTTTGAACAACTCATTGCATGTGTCAACAAATTTTCAGCCAAATACGTTTAGCCGTTTCTTTCAGAATGTTTGTTTGAAGCATAAAAAATAAGGATATTTGCTCATTTGAGAGACTTTGTGAACAAATTTGAAACATTTGCAAAAAAAATGCTGGACGGATCAACTGAAAATTTATAAATGCTTCGTCTTTAATTTGAGCAAAAAATTAATGTTAACTTTCCGTCGAAAGATTGCCAGGAGCGATTTTGACTACTTGTCTTTGGATCCCTGAAAAATTGCCAAAACTGGAGCTTTTTCAAAAACGCTGTATGAATATAACACAGAACAGATTTATTGTATAACATCTATAACACAGATTTATTTTTCTAATGGTGCAAACTGGACTAATTGTGATATCTTCGTTCGCTTGGAAAGAATGTTTTTGCCAAAAATCCGCATTCAAAACCCGACAGCCTAATAGTTCTGAAATCAGAAATAGAAAGGTCATTTTTAGATGCAAACGGCAGGCCGGCAAAACACAGATTTCTTTTAACTCTTTTTCTTGTATATTGACATTTTCTTGGTGTTAACGTGCTGTTTCTTTTAAGTGCCTCATGGTTCATTTTTGATCTCAGCGTTTTGCTGGTACCCTAATGAATAATAAATTCAATTTCAATTTTCAATTATTTCGAAAATTTCAATTAAAAAATTTGGGTGAACACTTCCAAAGCTATTAAAAAGTATTGTGAAAGAAAAATTATTGTAGACTTACAAAAAAGTTTCACCAGATGGTGGATTTGTTTCCTCCAGCGATATTGGAGAGCGATAACGAGGATTGGCTCGAAGACGATGAAGAATGAAGATGAGTCAAAGGTTGGTTTATCATTTGAAGTTACATCGAGAGGCTTGTTACAAAAGTTAGTACTTTGTGGGAGGGCACTTTTTCACCAAAAATCATTTTTCCCAGGGTAATTGATGACACTGATCACGAAAGAGTTATTAAGGCTAGTTAGTAATAGAATAATGTCAATTTTTAAAACTCAGTATAGTAGTTGGGTGGCCGACAAAAATCTTTTTCTCCAAATGAGCTGACTTTCCACCCAAGGGTTTTTGACTTTAATATTATAGGTGCCTAGATTTTAGGCAAGTCACTTGCGGTGCGGGAAGCCCAAGTCTAGGAGCCCCAACTACCATAGCACCCACAACAAACCAGTCGTTTTTCTTCATCCAAAAGATTGTGGCCGAGTACTGGTCGAATTGGAGCAGGAATAATTTTCATAACTAGTTTATTACCTTTTCTAGGAGAACTTTTTGTTTAAGTTTGGTGTACTTACTTGTGATTTTGACGATACGGTGAGCTTGCCTTGCATTTTTGCTTTGAACATAGATTTTTATTTTCAGATAAATGGTTTTATACGTAGTTTTTGACATATTGAATTTGTTGTTGAACTGCACATAGCTTTATTAATATGAAAACGACAAGAAATATTATACGGAAATTCTTTAGTCGAAATTTGTATGAGCTGTGAAATATGGAATTTAAGCAACTAAAGCCAACTCCAGAGATAGTTTAAGCAACTCTAAACCCCAAGTTTCTGTAAACTTTTGTATAAGCTCTGTTACCGCACTGAGGTCGATTTTTAGCTATTTTCCGAGTCAGACCGATCCGCAGTTATATCATAAATTATCGTATCGCAGTTAATTAAGATAACGTACCACTGAAACAAACTGTGAAATATGCCACTAATATTCACGTTCAAATAAAAATCCTCTACAAATGCATTTGCATTATTTGTTTATAAGAACAAAAAATACCTATTTTCTGTAATATTATGCGCAATAATATATTAGGTATTTTAGCCTCAGTTTTTGAAATTTTCTATTTGCTACAAACACTTGAAGTACTCCATCCCAATCTCGTTCAAACTTACTAATAAAATATTTGTTCAATGGTGTTTTTTGGCACCCCGGGACGATCACCACAAAGCAGAGTGTAATGGAGTACATCGCAGGCACATATCTCTACCGAAGACTCTTTGCGAATCCAAAGTACGGCTAAAAAGTTCTCTTTGTAGGTCAAAATCATGTCCGAAAGTTGCATATAAAATGGCTTTATCTTAACATTTCTCTTCTATCTTAACATTTCTCTTTCAGTTTCTACGGCATCGGCGAGCTCTCGGAGGAGTCAGTTTGTCACTATTTGACGACGACCGTCGACCAAGTTATTGCTGATCTATTGGAAAGCAAATGTATCACGTTGGATGAGCTATGTGCCGCGTTCGTACAACATTTCTACAACATAAGTTGGAGTATCTTGGATTTTTGATTGAAAGTTTAGATGAGGAACATCACGGACAAGCTGAACCAAGATAAGGGACGATTGCGATTAAGAAGTATTAAAATTTGATAATTTCTGTGATAACTCCAACTTTGAGCTCAAATATCTTAATATCTTAATAAAAATATCTTAATAAAAATAGAAATTCTGACAACTGAAAAATTCGCCTGTCTGGAAAAAAGATATTACACTTCGAAATTTGCTAAACTCGAAGCTGCAAGACCCTTGTGCATGACGTGTTCTTTTAAAGTGCATTCTATTCGATACCCATCCCCTTTTGCACCCCAACTTTGAGCTCAAATATCTTAATGTTGGACTAGCCAATTTAAATATTCTGAATATCATCGGATGCATACGTAGATCGAATTGCCATTCCTCCTTTTTCCTGTCCCGCTTACCGTACCTTTCCCCATTCATGTCTTTTCTTGGCTCCGCGTCACCTGCTTTCCTTCAGCAATGGGCAACCTTCATATCTTATGTGGTATCTGTCTGTTTGTATCCTGTTTTTTCGGTGTCCTCTCATTTTTTCGAAAAAAATCCGAAAAAGAGTCAATCCAAGCACGTCACGATTGACGTCACGTCAATCTTCAATTTTCACGTCAATCCAAGCACTCCTTTCACTAATCTTTTCCAAACGATTCTGCAATCGATCCTTTTTAATTAAAATTTTAGAGATTTCTTCGATTCGTTTCTTATCAGTGTATTTTTGAAAAGAAAAGGAAGACAAAGAAAAGAGAAATTAACGAGCGAACACAAAGAATGGAACCACAACATCTCGGTCTAGCAATGATACATCAACACGATCAGGTGAGAAGAAATATGATTTAACAAACAAATCATATACCTTTATCTATCTTTATGTCTACCACTACCAGCTAGCTGCTTACAGTTTGTTTCCGGGAGAGCCTTTGTGACGAGATTTACTAGTATATAAGAATCAAGAATTTATTAAGAACACGTCTTATATCCTGGCCTGCGTCTGGTTTAATTTAGATCAGCTTACAAGGGTTAGAAGATTTCTTATGCTTGCTATGAAAACAAACAGGAACGAAACGACTTGACTTGTGTGCTTTTTGAAAATCTGTTATTGTCTCAAAACTCGTTAAAGATTGGCTCCATTCGCCAAATTCGTCCATGTCTCCGCCTCAATTCGATCGATGATCGTCCACTTCCGCTACATCTCGGGGTAATAAAGCTTTTCCTGAATTCATAAATTCCAGATTTTTCCTGTGATAAAGCAAGATTCCGTTTCAGATGTACGAAGCGGGACAACGACCTCGAGTCTCGAGGAATCGGACAATAAGTGGTGCGTGCTTTGAAGAAAAAGAATCAGGAAGGGCTGATCTTTAAAGGATCCTTTTTCCATTTCTCCATGAAATGCTAGTCATTTGACATTTACCATTTGAGAAAAACCAGCTTGTTTTTCAATTTTACTCGGAAAATATTTGATTTTTTCGATCAAAAGGTTTGATTTCGAATCAAATGTTTATTATGGTAGTTTTTAAAAACAACACACTTAACTAAAATATTGTAAAAAGGAGCTCTAGGTCAAAAAAGCAAAATGATCTAAATCTTTAAAGATAATCAATGACTTTTGCAGTCCTTCTTATAGAATCAGAGGAAAAGTTTTGAAAAACTACAGAAACAGTTTAAGAACAAGCATTAAGAACAAAAGCTAGAAGAAAAGGATAAGGTTGTAGAGTTGACATTTAGAATATAAGTCCACTTGAGCTAGATATCTATGACCACACATTTCAGAATCGGTGCTTGGCCCTCACAATTCATTGCACGGAATCGGGGCAAACAATCGATCGAATCCCATTCATCGGACACCGCGACAACAGCAACAACTCCAGCCACCGCCAACCGTTCATCTGCCAATGCACAGCCCACAGCATGTTCGTTTTTGAAAACATTAATCTCTATACAATATTGAACTCGTCTTTCATGGTGATCTTTTTCTTCTCGGTTCAAAGTCTCTCGCCCTTGTTATCTTTTCCTTACAATTATTATCGTGCTTGAGATGTACCCAGTGTCCTCAATTCTTCCTCCATTTTTTCCCTCCATTGGAAATTAGTTCCCTGGAAACAATTCATCTATTGCGTGCAAACTTTAATCTCTTCGTCTTAGAACAGAAATGGAGGGATATATGCTTTGGGGTTGATAGATTGACGAGTAAATAGTAAATACTGTAATAGTACCACAACCCCAGAATGACAGTGCGGAGTGTTTAGTCTGTGCGGAGTGTTGCATAGTCTAGCTTTAAAGGAATGTGTATTTTTTGATCATTCTATCCCATTGCATTATCAGACTTGCGTTTTATAGTAAAAGCTATTTTCGGACATCAACGATAAGTACAATTACTGTTTTAATCCCCAAATTTCGGTTAAAATACAAAGGAAAACCAAGAGCTCTATGCCGACAAAAACATTGCATTGTGATCCGGTGGAAACCAGTAATCAAATCACTTCACCATTTCCCCAAGACGATGATAGATAAAGCATTGATATTAATCCAAAACCGCTTTGCTCACCTCTTTTTTGCTCATTGACCAAAAATGTTAAACGAACGGCTTAGACGTTTTGGCTTAGACGACGATGAATATTTGCATATTTTATCCTCTAAAATTTCAGCTGACCGCCTCGTACTACTGTGCAGACAAGTTGACCTTGCAAGGAAAACCGATTCCCGGAAACAGCTCTTCAGGTGAGGTGTTCAAGAGGGCAATTGGGAAGCAGGTAAACAGGAAAGGAGCAGGGACACGAAACGAGCGGAAAGTTAGCTCAAACCGGCGCTGTTTTTATGATCTGAAAAGGGTGTCTAGAGAAAGCATTGGTTTGGCTGCCAGCCAGCTTAATACAATTAAGAATTCTTTTGTACCTTTGCATAAATCCAGGTTTGAATCTAGTAGAATGATTCCATGATCTAAAAGATTTCTAATAGGGAAAGATTGGCAGAAGAGAAGAGGGAAAGTTTGGCTGGCAGCCAGCTAGTCGGAGTCGGGTGAGCTGGCTGGCTAGGCTCAGAGAGTCTGCCTGTCGAGTCTAGGCTCGAGAATTTTTCAGATTTCAAATGATCTAAGCTAGAAGCTTTAGGTGGTTCAGGCCACTCAGGCTCACCCGCCGGACTCCCGGAGGCGCAGCAACAATTCCGCGAAGTCTTCACCTCGCCAGCTCCCTGCTCATCGGAGATGGATCAATTGGTAAACTTGCGCCGGGGATATAAATATAACTCTCTGATATACCTAAAAGATTATTATTGTTTGCAGGTATGTGGCTCGTCGAAAGGATCCATTCCCAGTGCCGATAATCCGGATTTCTACCAAAAAGATCGCAAAAAGAAGGACATTCACAATAGGAGTGAGTTCATTTCCCATTTCATTCATAATTACGAATCAAATCAGAAGTTTTTCAGAGGTTTTTCTAAAACCTATTAAACGAGTTTTTCAGTTGAACGCGATCGTCGCAATAATATTAACGACCGAATCAAAGAATTAGGGCTTTTGTTGCCTAAAGGAGCCTCCAAGTGAGTTAAAATCAAATTTACAAGAAAAAAACGCTAAATATTTACTTCACGTTGTCACGAGCCGAATTTAGAGAGATGAAGCTGGACAAAGGGACGATTCTCAAAGCATCTTGTGACTACATTCGAAAGTTGCAAAAGGATCGAGATGTAAGCGAAAAATAAAAAGCTTCTAAGCAAAGAATAGCTTTCAGGGCCTAATTAAGCAACGGCCGATCGAGTCAGGGTTTATGAGGGAAATGCTGGGCTTAGCGTGGCTTCCCTATTTATTCAATTTTTTTACAGCACAGTACCTTGGCTTTGAGTTTAAACTATTAGTGTTATGCATTTTCTGAAAGGTCTTTTCAAGGCTTAGCCAATGGTAATATTATTATTTAGTGGCGAATACTAGGGATTTGCAGAGGCGTGAAAGTGACGATCTTTTTCACATATTATATTTCATTGTTCAGTAGTGTAGATACCTGTTAAGCCATCCTTAAGGATGGTGTTAAGCCATCCTTAAGTTAAGGATACGCATTTTTGGAGGCAAATCTAGGAACTCAAGGAGATCTTGGCGAAGAATGGCCTCAAGGCGCCCACCAAAGTTCTTCCTACACTCCCAGCCCCTGGATCAATCAAACAGGAGATCGAAGAGAGTCCAAATGAAACCCCATGCGGATCACTTGTAAGCGATTGCTCAACTCTTCTCATGACTCCCCTCGAAAAGACACACAATCAATCGGCTCCCGATTGGGTAATAAAAAATCAGCAACTAGTACTAGGTCCCCAAATTTAAGTTCTATATTTTGCTCTTTTTGTTTATTTTTAGTCCTCATCGGGTTTTATGTCACAACTCTCTGACACGACGTCTGCGATGGCGATCGCCTCCCCGCTAGGATGTATTCACCATGGGTCCGATCAATTCTTTGGCTCAAGTCCACAAGGTTATCAGACGCCACAATGGAGGTGGAGAAGTAATAGATATATCAAACAAAACTTTGTCTAAATATATTCTATTGCTTGTTTACAATATTAGATAAAGCCAGTATCAAATGGGAGCAGAGTGGCCAATTTGGTTTCAAAGTAGAAGCTAAAGTATAAGTTTATTGTAGAAGTAGCTACAGTAGTAGAAGTGAAAGTAGAAGCCACGGTGGCTTATCGTAAGAAATTACCGTATCAAATACTTGCCATTTCTATGTCAAATATATCAAGTACAAATAAATACTTGCCATTCTATTAGCTGGATGATCATTCAATATCTTACAGCCCCGACAGTCAAAGGATGCACCACGGGCCATTCCCCGATTTGATCACGGAGTGGTGTCTTGAGGTAGGATTGAGATATAGATAAAACAATATATCATTCTATTTAAATCTAAGCCCTAATATCTAAATCCTAAGATCTACATTTAAATATGAAATATCTAATATGCTCTGCATACAGAACAATCCACTCCTCCACTCGGACCCGTTAATGTCACAAGCCGGAGGCCCATCGTCAAACCTTGCCGTCAGCCAGATGAGCCATGGTCTCTCGTGGAATCCCACAAATTTCAGGTACGATGAAGAGAAAATGGAGTATGTTATATGCAATATAGAAACATGCGATACTTTGCTCCCTAGAAGTCGAAAATCTTGATTAAGCCTTGTTTAGATCATCCTGAAGCTACCTGAAGATGAGCACCTACCATTGGTTGTACAGTCAATAGCGTTGTCCAAGGGCACTGTGCTGTAGTTAGAGATTCTGTAGCCTTAGAGTACTGTAGTCCGAAACCCTGTAGCCAAATATTTCTTACGCTATGTTTATACAGCATGTTTAGAAGTTGTTTCCAGGGCACTTGGGGGCAAGTGTCAAGCTGTTTAGAAGATATCTGATATTTAAATTCTACCCTATCTGAATTCCTCAATTTTCAGTCCCGACCCGAACACCGTATCGATGCACGCCAATCACAATATGGACTATTCATGAAGAACTCCGCTTGCCAGTTAAACATCCAACAAACGCTTGTACATAAGTGTGTCCAGTTTCATTCAAAGACTTGATATGCATTTTCGTTCCCAATACTAAGCTGTCAATTTTAATCGTCTATATTTTAAAGTTAATAAATCTTAAAATATCTCTTATACAAACTCTATAAGATCTTATACAAATAAAATAAACTCTCTTATACAAATTGCTTTTTAAATTTGCTTTAAATTTTAAATTAAAATTGCTCTAAAAACCCACCTCTTAAATTCGTGAAATTCAATAGCTTCTGCTTGTCCTGAAAATTTGAAATCATTCACTTAAAACCTGTGGATTTTACATGGTAAAAAGAATAAAGTCAAAATCTACTGGTTTTCCATTGGATTTTTTTTTTTGCTATTACTAAGCTAATTAAAAATTTGATTTTTAATTAATTTCAATTGTTTTTTTGACGTCAGTAATGGAAAGTATAGAAAAAGACAGGTGTTATTTTAAAGCAAAATGTCTGGAATGACTTGTGATAGAAAAAAGGAAAGCTTTCTAATGAGAAAAAGGAAGAGATTATTGCATTGTCACAGATTCAATTTTGAGCCCATACTTTGAAATTCCCATTTATTGGATGGAGGATTGGAGGAAAACAAATGAAAGACCTGGGGATTGTTCGGGTTTTGTTCAAGCTCAGGTTCATTTTTCGTTCGATTTTTATTAATTTTTATTAATTTTATTAATGCGTTTTCGCACTTTATTTTTTTCTGAATAAAGTATTTATATAAATGATTTATCTATAAATGATTTATTTATAAATGATATAAAATTATTCCACTTGCATTTATAAATGAGAAACAAATCCGCAGGGAAAACTAACGAAACAGCCATTTTTGGAAAACGTGAAAGCAGCCATTTTTTGCTCTGCTGCCCTTTACTAAAATAGCTGTAAAATCCTTTACTAAAATAGCTGTAAAATCTTTTAGAAAAGAGATATCTCAAGACGGTTTTTGTAACCATCGATCTGTATTGGATTCAGCTTTAGCATGATCTATAAAACGTATAAAAGATATCAAGAGCGAGAGAATTTGAACCGAGAAACATTGAAGAAAAAGATCACCATGAAAGGCGAGAGTTCAATATTATTAGAGATTAATGTTTTCAAAAACGAATTTCAAACTGAGGCTTAAATTTCAATGTTGAGGGCTTCGAATTCAAGATAAACCTCAGGCTCAGGCTTAGGCTAAGGCTCAACTGAGCTATAGATTATTGTAGCCATCTATTTCATCTATTTCTAGCGAAGCGGAGGAGTCGATGCTGCTCAAAAAAATGATCTAATAAAGATAATCAATGACTTTTGCAGTAGAATCAGAGGAAAAGTTTTGGAAAAACTACAGAAACAGGTTTAAGAACAAGCATTAAGAACAAAAGCTAGAAGAAAAGGACAAGGTTGTAAAGAGTTGGCATTTAGAATATAAGTCCACTTCGAGCTAGAGATCTATGACCACTCATTTCAGAATCGGCGCTTGGCCTTCACAGAATCGGGGAAACAATCGATCGAATCCCATTCATCGGACACCGCGACGACAGCAACAACTCCAGCCATCGCCACCCATTCATCTGCCAATGCACAGCCCGCAACATCGTTTTTGAAAACATTAATCTCTAATAATATTGAACTCTCGCCTTTCATGGTGATCTTTTTCTTCAATGTTTCTCGGTTCAAATTCTCTCGCCCTTGATATCTTTTATACGTTTTATAGCAATAAAAATCTTCTATTTGAAGCAAACTATTAATCAATTCATAAGCTTAAAAACAGATTTACGACAAAGTGTCCAAAGAATTTTTGGCTAACTTTTTAGACTAACAAAAAGTCCCCAATTAATAGCAAACATTAGAACCGGACTGTTGCTAGGCAGCCAGGTAAATCGCGGACTTCATCCTTGCCTTGAGATTAAAAGCTGCAAAAAATAAATCTCTCTATTTTTGGATTCTCATTACATTCGACGTTGCATGATTTCTACAAAGAATATAAAACGTAAGGCTAAAAAACAAAAATAAGGTGCAACATCTTGTAGCGAAAATTTACCTAAATGATTCTTTTCCGATTTAGATGTTTGACTCTCAAAGTCTAAAAAAGAAATCCAATGAAAGACAGCAAATGTTGCCTAGCCTTCTCTTGTCTTCTCTTTTTCTTTTCCTTAGAAACTAAGATATAGAAACTAAGTGAAAAAAGTTATGCAACGGTCTCAGGACTTTAAACACCTAGCAACGAAATAACCTAGTGCTACAATAACGAAAAAGATTAAAAAATCCAAAAAGCTAAGTTATTACTCCAAACAAATTTTATTATTGGTTGCTTCTTTCTTCAGATTTTGAAATTTCCGTGTCTTTTCAGCCACTTTATTTATGATCATTATTTTCCTTGTTTTCTTACGATTTGCTTTAATTTTAGTTCCATGTCAAGCGTCAAAGAGGAGTCAAAGCCGGTTGTCAGCAAAGCCGGCAAGAAGAGAGTACATCGGCGACAACGAGCGAAAGAACAAGGAACGGCGGACAGCGATAGAAGCAACGATGAAGATGAGGTATTCGCTTACGCTTTTCCATCTCCGGTTCCTAATTTTGGTAAAATTATCACAGTTGATTATGTGCCGGCAACTGATTATTTGTTTTCTTTTAGTCTGCGCGAGAGACTGCTGCCGGAAAGAAGCGACGTCAAAATCCAATGTTACAAACGGTTAGTCTACGTTTTAAAAATTTATCTTTTAAATTTTGCATTCAAAACTTGGGAACTAAGGCGGTTGGGGACGGGCAGCCAAAAATGTTTCAATGTGCGTTTTCTAGGGTGATTGATAACATCGACTACCAGAAAACATTTTTAAGTTAGCCTTTTTATTGTTAGCCCAGGATTTGGCTCCGCACCGCCACCGTGTCAAAGTTGCGTATGGGCCTGACTGCAGCACCCAGAGCCACATCCGCTAGATTAGTTTAGTATTATAAAGTTTATATTCTATAGTTTTTTATGTAGGCATGAAGTTGGATAGACCAACATCGATAGGCTCCACATGAGACCAACATCGATAGGCTCCACAATCACAAAACCCGATTACCTTTAGGCTTCTAACATTTCATGACAGAACCATCATAAAATTCAGTCTAAACTGAAAGCATAACTTTAAAGTTGCCTTAATAAAAAGAATTGTTTAGACAAAGCGGGAAAAGAGCAAGACTGCTCGTGCACTTAAGCGTGCTCGTGCTCGTGCACTTAAGCGGGTCCGGGACGGGGTAAGTGGGACGAGCCCTCCATGGGGCTTAGCCTGAGCCATCCTTCGCGAACTTGCAGTACAGTACTGGAAAGGAATCGAATTATTCATTACTTAGCAGTTTTTCACCACCTTTAATACAAGTACACAAATAATTTTATCTATTAGATTTCAAAGAAAATTCGATGGTTATAGCTATTTTTGAGTGGGCACCAATTTCCAACAAAAATTTAGCTTAAATTTGCTCGATTGAGGAATGTCGAGTGATAATAATGAAGCTCCTCAATAAGCAAAAAGAGTCAGTTTAAAGTTCAATGTTGAAATTAGTTTATGCTTTAGCTTCCCCCGGTTTTTCCTCCAGCTAAAAGATGCAAAATGGCGATGGCTACTGCTTAAAAGGGAATTCAACTGGAACACAATTATTGATGGAAAGGCAGCCAAAATTTTCATCGAAAACTGGTCAGGCGATTGGAAAGCGATGCCTCGCTTTAAGGTGAAGATTTTCTTTTTTGAGCTTGAACCTTGGATAGCTTTGATAATTTTTTGTTTAGTATATCACCAAAAATCGCCACTCTGAGGATGCTGTGAAAACTTTAAAGAATATTCGTCCGATCTATCTTGGCCGCAACAAAGCTTGCGAATGCAAGGGTGCAATTAATTGCTGTGCCTCGGTATCATGAAAACTATTTTTCTTACTTTTCCTTTAGCATCATGTTGCACAAAGTTACAAAAGTGGAACAAAACCAAAGGCCATCCGGAAACTCAATTTTAACAACTTTTCCTTGCCAATTCCTTCATTTTATCGGCTCATTGATAGTCAATAAGGCTAAGATAAACTTGATCAAACTTAATGCAACTCCGGCTGTTAATCGGTTGATAATCAAAGTTCATCTACACTTTATTCATCTCCAATTTCTAGGCGCTGAGTTCCCGAGATTCCATGTGATTCGCTCTACAGATGCCCATCAACCGAGCAAATCCCGTCACATCAGTATTCACGGAAAACCCCGACGATGTGCTCCAATTGACAGCCAGTTCTAAACCGAATTCAAACAAAATCCTTCACATTTCCAACTTGTTTCCTTAAAATCATCAATCAAATGGTCTCCTTGTTAAGCTTACTCACTTTCAAGCCTAATTCTTGAGTCCAACATCATTCATTTCAATCTGTGTCTTCTCATCTTGTTCCAATTTGCCTTAGACAAAGTCCTTACAAAGTCCCACTCCTCGTCTAGTCCAATTTTACAATCCACTTTAATCAAATTGTTATTTTCTTCTAGAACATTGTCAATTTTACTTGATATTCAAAATATCTCATCTTTGTTTTAAAATTTCTCTAAAGAATCCACAGCCTGTGCGGGTTTTTTATACTTTTCCGTTTTCCACTAAAAGAAAAGTGATGTTTTTGGGATCGTTGGTGTTTTGAAATAAAAAATTAAAAGAAAATCGCTGACAGGACCAGCAACAAGTGCAGAATGATAAGGAAAAATTCTTCTTTGCAACTAAAACAAATTTGATTAAGCCAAGAAGCGTTTACGAGTTTTGTAAAACAAAAGAAATCCGGTGATTATCTTGGTACTCGATGGTATTTGAAAAATCGACGTACATGTAGGTATATTAGAAGTTTTACACGAATTTATTTGACTATTTTGCTACAAAAACAGTCAATCAAATTTAAAACATTATCATTCACCAAAGAATGCTTTCATTGGTATCCAGATCATTGAATTCTATTCCCTGGAGAAGTTCGACTCCAACCTCTGCAACCAACCTCTGCATAAACTTGTCAACCTCTGCATAAACTTACTTTTATCCATTCTTCAGCTGCGTAGCTTGTACTTGTACTTCTTCTTGTACTAGAGTCTTCTCTCACTAATTTCTTTTCTAGAGGTCCTCTTTTTTTGAAAATTAATGTCCATTTTTCCTAGCCCATTCGTTTTAAAAAAAGCTCTAAAAGCTAATATTAACCAATTTCTATTCCAAAAAGTTGTTTTTCTAGGTAATTTGAGGGGTCTCGAATTCAAATTTTGACATAACCAGCGTGTAAAACCAATTTGAAAGACAAAACGGCTAAGTCAAATTACAGAAAATTGTTGATTTTTTCTTTGCATATAACTCTGTCCGTTCGCTTCCACAAGCTCTGATGTGCCAAAATTTTGATTCGACGCCTGTACACGAATGTACAGACACCTTTTTGCAGCTTTTTGTAGCTTTTTGCAGCTTAGGCTTAGGCTTAGGTGATTAGATTTGATGATTAGATGATTAAAATTGATTCGACGGGTCTACGATAGATAAAAATCGCTCTGAAAAGTACACAAATTTTCACTTCTGATTAAGGCCAGTAATTGGCAAATAATTAACATAAATTGCTTGTAATTACACTCTTTACTAAGCAAAATTTGATTTGATATTAAGCTATCGTATTGGCCAATTGATCGGTCACTTGATTGGTCACTTGATTGGTCACTTGATTGATCGTATTGATCAAATGTTGTACTTGAACGCCAGAAGCTTTTTGCTTGTTTTTGAATGTCACCAACCAAAAACTAAAGCTTGATCTGAGGCCAAATTGCATTAAAAGCTGCTCAAGAACTCTTTTTTAGTCTTTTAGAAGTCCTAGAGCAAAAGTAAAGCAAAAGCAAAAGTTAAAGTTAAAGCCAAAGTAGTTCAATTTTCCTTCTGCAGTAATCTTTGCCACTTTTCCCGAATCTCACGAATGCTACAACAACAGTCTCTTCGAGATTCGAGATGTAAACCTTTTTTGCGGCTTATTCAGCAAAGATCTCTTCACACCAAAAGGTGTAGAAGACGAGAAATTTTCAGCAAAGATCTCTTCTACACCATTTGTGTAGTAGAGATCTTTTCAAGATTTCTTTCACTTTCTTCCCAGGACTCTGGGTACCCAAGACTCGGAGTACCCAAGACTTGTAATGGTGTAATGGTGTAGAAGACGAGAAATCTTGAGCAATGATCACTACTACACCAAATGGTGTAGAAGGCGAGAAATTTTCAAAGATCTCTTCTACACCAAATGGTGTAGAAGACGAGAAATTTTCAGCAAAGATCTCTTCTTCACCAAATGGTGTAGAAGGCGAGAAATTTTCAGGAAAGATCTCTTCTACACCATTTGTGTAGTAGAGATCTTTTTCAAGATTTCTTTCACTTCTTCACCAAAATTGGGTACCCAAGACTCTGGGTACCCAGGACTTACTATTAAGGGAATCCTTAAGTATTCACAGAAAAATGTTACCTCAAACAAATGTTGCAACTACGTGGTATTATGTAGTGGTACCACATGTATTATATAGTAGTACCACTATGTGGAACCACATGCGTGGGAGTGGTACCACTATGTGGAACCACATGGGTGGGAGTGGTACCACATAGTGGTACCACATGCGTGGAGTGGTACCACTATGTGGTACCACTCCCACGCAGGTAAAAATGTTACCCCAATCTATCCGCATCGGATAAGTGATCACAAATGGACGGAATCCATCAGCACTTATCCGTCCGAATAAGTGCTGATAAATTAGATCTATTTATCAGCACTTATCCGTCCGGATAGGTGCTGATGGATTCCGTCATTTGTGATCACTTATCCGGACGGATCTGTGCGGATAGATTCCGTCCATTTGTCAGCACTTATCCGGACGGATAAGTGCTGATAGATTAGGTCTATTTATCAGTAACCTCTAAGGTTGCTTAGTAAACTGTAATATAAAAAGATAGAGAAATTTTCGGTCAGAGTTGACCTACTTACTTCGGTCAAAGATTCCCCTTTCTCTTCTCAAATCTCAAGTCTATCCATGTTTTGATCTTCTCAGTCTTTCTTTCTCTCTTCTTTCTTTCTTTCTTGCTTTCTTCTTTCTTTCTTTCTTTCTTTCATTTTCCTATTGTATCAGCTCTAGACACTCTGTGCCAAAAGTAAACGTTTTCCATGGCTTTCCGATTAAAATTTTTGTTCTGTCCTTTTTCAGAGATATTATTTCTCAAAATAACTTATCTATTTTTAAATCTAGATAAGAACTTAGGGTAGATTCTCATACCGTAAATACTGTAATAGTACCCCTTCAAGTTCATCAAAAAATCTGGAAAGAAACTGGTTTGAGCCGTGAGTCTACAAATGTCATTAGATTTATATCATTTCTAAAGAAGAATAATAACTTGTAACTAACATTAACTAGTAATAACTAACATTTATTCTGCATTAACGATTATACCACGAGTACCACCACGAGCATTTGAGCATGCTCGCAGGCGTTTCGAGAAGGCGTCAACGTTGGCGAGCAAATAGCTGTTCCCACACTTCGACACACAAGATTTTTACCTATTCAGATTTTCGAACTTGTCGAATCAGTAGATTGTAAAATTGGACTAGACGAGGAGTGGGACTTTGTAAGGACTTTGCCTAAGGCAAATTGGAACAAGATGAGAAGACACAGATTGAAATGAATGAAAGAATTAGGCTTGAAAGTGAGTAAGCTTAACAAGGAGGCCATTTGATTGATGATTTTAAGGAAACAAGTTGGAAATGTGAAGGATTTTGTTTGAATTCGGTTTAGAACTGGCTGTCAATTGGAGCACATCGTCGGGGTTTTCCGTCAATACGGATGTGACGAGATTGCTCGGTTGATGGGCATCTGTAGAGCGAATCACATGGAATCTCGGGACCTCAGCGCCTAGAAATTGGAGATGAGTAAAGTGTAGATGAAATCCGATTACTTGCACTGACTTGCACTGACTCAATGCAAGTATAAAATATCACCTGAATGTAACTAACTCTAGTCTGAGCCTGAGCCTGAGCCTGAGACAATTTTGCTACAACAACAGTCAAGCAAGTCAATTTCTCAACTTCTACAGAACTCTTTCAAACTTGAAGTTTAGATAAAGTTTTGTTTTTAGAAAAAAAATTTTAGAAAACTACCGCTACCAGTTTTCCCTTTAGCCCAATTTTAGTCTGTTTTTTTTAAGGTTTGTGATTTCCAGATTGAATTTGACTAAAATTAAGCTGATCAAGTGAAAGCTGAACGTTCGAAGAAAGTCATTTTCAAAACTAGGTGACCTCTAGGAAGGAAATTAGTGAGAGAAGACTCCATTACAAGCTACGATGCTGAAGAATGAATAAACGTAGGTCTATGCAAAGGTTGACAAAAATTGGATGGAGTCGAACTTCTCCATGTGATAGAATTCAATGATTTGGATATCAATGAAAGCATTCTTTGGTGAATGATAATGTTTTAAATTTGGTTGACTGTTGTTGTAGCAAAATAGTTAAATAAATTAGTATAAAACTTCTAACTACCGTTACCAGTTTTCCCTTTAGCCCAATTTTAGTCTGATTTTTTGAGGCTTGTGATTTGCAGATTGAATTCGACTAAAATTGCGCTGAGCTATCAGTTAAGTTTCTAAAAAATCCAAGAACGTGAGAGTCGAGACAGTTAATTAGAGTTAATTAGAATGTTTTAGACGGATCGCATCTATAACACTGGATTTATATCTTTCAATTATTATGAATAATCACTACCTTTGGAATAATCACTACCTTTAATACATGACTTTTCAGTAAAATAATTTTAAGGCATCCCCGAACTTTGTTGTTGGCGCATTGTTGATGGTTTTCGAACAAATAACACATTCTTGTCTGAGGATGCCTTTTTATTACCATGAAGCCATTGGCATTGACGGCTATTGCCCTAGGGCGCGAGATTTAGTTAGAACGCTTGGAATTGGCAAGAGCGAGAGCTAGGGACCAAAAAGGAGTATAAATGCTAATAGATTTTACTTTTCGCTTTAAGACTGCGATGACGAGCAGTGAGGCTTTTATGCGGGGTTTATGAAGTAAATAAAAAAATCAAATTTCAAAAAATCAAAAAATTCTATTTTAAAATTAATATTTTTCTTTTAAGAGTTATTCTAATATCGATAATAGAATCAGTAAATAGCCAATTCAATGTAAAAATAGAATGACATCAAAATGTATTTATTTTTCCTGAAAGCAATACTTGCTTTAGTATTCCAATATGCTTGTATAAATACTCAAAAGAAATCTATTATGAATGAAACTTGTCTTCTTTTTTGCCAAAAACGTTCTTCAAAAACTTCAAAGCCAACAGCTTTTTCTATAAGATTTCGGTGAAGAAAACTGAACAAGAAAACGATCAGCTAGGGAAAATGACTTGGGTTCAATTTGTCGACTCTTTTTTATAAACTTTTTTGTGAAAATTGGAAAGCGATTAGGAGTGAGTGGGAAAATAGTCATGAACTAGGAGGAAAGACTGCAAAATGAACGTGTTTTGCAAGAGAGGGTAGAAATATTTATCAAATTTACCTATAATTCAAGAAGCTATTATAGAAATTGTTGATGGGATTCAAAGCAACTTGTGTTTAACCTTTTGATTTAAAGCTTATTATACTAAACTAAACATTTCAGTCAGTTATTCTGTCATACAATTTCTCTAAATTTGCCAGAAAACTGGGAAAGTTTGGTTTACCAATTTCTGAACAATTTCTCTACTTTGTACGTGATCTTCATTGCAATTAAATCTATATAAACTTACCTTAAATCTACTTTTTCCGGGCAACTCCTTTACTTTTTTATTAATCAAATGATCCTTATTATCTTTTCTAATTTTAAACATCGATTCTACTCAACTCTATCATTACATAAACTTTCCTAATCAACTTTTCCTAAGCGATCTCTTGAAAGCCATTTATTGGAATTTCCCTTGGTTTCATTTCTTCATTTCATTCGTTTCGTTCAACGAATCGATCAGAGAAGAGAGGGTCAGTTAAAAAGAAAAAAAGAAAAAAGGCCAAAAAAATAGAGTGGGCAGACATCGAAAAAATGAGGGGAAAAAGCGAAAGGAAATGTCTCTCTTTTCCCCTCCTTTCCACCTTTCCACCAAAAACGAAAAAAAGAGAAAAAGTTGAGGATGTTAGTTCGATGAAAACCTTTTCTTTTCTATCTTTTGAGCTTTTCCCTTGTTCTTGTCTACCCTCTCTCCTCCCTTTGCTCTTTCACATCATAGCCAGCTGATCGAATACCCACTCTCTTTCCCGTTTCTTTCAATCTAAGGCCATGAGCTCCCTCCGAAGCCCCACCTCGTTTCGCTCTTTTCATTTCTTTTTTTTCCTCTCTTTTTCCTCCTTTCCCCTTTCCCCTTTTACTGCCATTCCAGCAGACCGATTATGTCTCCATCGACAAAATGATGCTTTTTTTCTTTTACCCCTCTCTTTTTAGCTTAAGCCTAGGCAATAATTTTTTCCTTTGCTGAGCTTTTTCTATTACCAAAGTAGATCAAATTCAGATAAAATCTGAAGAAATCAATTTGCTGAAGTTGCTAAAGTAGTCAAAATTTCAAATGTTTAAAGATATAATACTCTGCTTCCATTTTTAGTCATTATATACATGTTAAACTTATCTAAACTTACATTTAACGGTCTCTTCTTGTTCTTTATGATATGTTTGTTCAATATCAATAGTTCAATTTAACCGCAATAGTTGAATTTAAATGCTAGATTGATTGTCAATAATGAAAAAGATTGCCAAGAAATCGAATAGAGAATAGATAATACTGACATTTCTGATATTCCCTTTCGATGTGAACTCTAAATCGATTCTCTTCCATAGGTGTTCTCGCTCGTAAACGGTTCGCTCGTTCGATGCCAAGAAAATCTGGCAAGATTGGTTGGCAAAAACCAGTCTCTGACTGAGTGAATGACTGACACGCAACCCTTTCCTTTTCTCTTCACCCTTGCACCTTCACTCTTCAATAGAGGGTTTCTTGTTGAACTTCCCCCTTTCCCTTCAAATGAAAGCCTTTCCGTTGCTTTCCTTTCCATTCTTTCCATTCCTTTCTTTCCTTCCTTTCTTTCTTTTCTTCCTTTCTTTCTTTCCTTTCCCTTCCTTCATCGTGCCATTGGAACGTTTATCTGATCATGTCCCCCATCTCTTTTCCATTCATTCGACGATTCTTTTCTCCGATAAACAGTTGATTTTACACACATCCGTTTTGCAAGAAAAACCCATATTCAGATTTTAGATATTCTATAGATCTAAATGTTTAAATATTCAATATATCTATATATTGAATATCGTTTCCTCTTTCCCTAATCTACGTTTCCCCAGTAATTTACATTTTAACTTTTAAGCCATTTTCTAATCTTTCGATTCATTTCTCCAATAAACCCCACTTTCCAGCATTTTGCTTACCCATTTCAAATATTCGTCTCATTATCTGTCTGATTGAAGATTTGTCAAGTCTCTTTACAAGTTTTACGATGATGAACCTTATGAGGCGAATGTTTTATGGCGAATGTTTTATTGCCCTGGGCAGGTCACTTGAAGCTCAAAGCTTTTTTGGCTTATTGCCTTTTCTTCTTGCTTTTCCTGTTAGCTTTCATTCAACCTCATCCATCACGGAACGAGTTTCGATTTTCCCACCCAATTTGGAAGAAATCTTTCTCATAGACTTGATTCCGTAAACTTTCTTCAGCAATTATATTTTCTCGCTCAGAAACAACAATTTCAAAATATTGCAATGTATTGCAATGAAATTTTCATATTTATTATCAAAGTTCATTGAAATCCACCCATATTCCCCAAATCGTTTCCCTTACTTAAGAGATTTTGAAAAAATAAACCCATTTGATCGTTTAAACTCATTTTTAGGGGAAAATCACCCGCAAGGGCTATATATTGACCCCCTTTGCCTTACCCCCCCTCCCCCCCCCCCTCCCCCCCGCCCCCCCTCCTCCACCACTCCCCCTCCACCCCCCCCCCTCCCCCCCCCCCCCTTTGCCCATCTCTAGCCGCAGATCTCAGATAAATAGAAAACTTAAATGAAAAGGGAAATGAGACCGGAGAATGAATGCAAAAGGAGCTGGGAGGGCATTCAGATAGGAGCGTCGCAGCCTCTCCCCTCGATCGATCCCCGGACCACCTCTCAGCCTTTTTTCACCCCCAATCCCCACTCATACACCTCTCTTTCTTTCAGTTTTTAGTTTTTTTCTTCAAAACTAAACGCAACAAGCCTCCATTTTGAATTCTAGTTCCAGATTTTTCTGCCTAAGCTCATCTGACTCCATTTCAAAAAATTGAACTGAATTCTCGAATTCTCGACTGCTTTTAGCTTCAGATAGGAGCCTCTCCCCTCGATCGATCCCCGGACCACAATGAATATTTTGTAGAGATAAAAAGATTAAGAGACAAAACTTTAATTGATTCAACCCTTCAACTTTAATTTAATTGATTTATTCAATATATCTATATATTGAATATCGTTTCCTCTTTCCCTAATCTACGTTTCCCCAGTAATTTTACATTTTAACTTTTAAGCCATTTTCTAATCTTTCGATTCATTTCTCCAATAAACCCCACTTTCCAGCATTTTGCTTACCCATTTCAAATATTCGTCAATCGATTGATAAAAACAAAAATTCTCAAAGCGATGATTTCCCCTTTTTCCCTGTTTATGTGTACATAAAAAAATGGGGAGCGGAAAAAAAATCATCTTTTTTTAATAAAATCTAGTTTTGATTTTTTCATTTGATAGCTTTGATACTGAGCTTTGATACTGAGCGATCGATGCTATTTAGTAGCTAGAGTAACCCCAAGTACTATCGTTAATCTTACAGTACGGTGACTGAACTCCAGTTCTTAGATGCTACAGTAATCTAACGGTATTGTATCCATCAGATCGCGTTTTTAGTTTTCCTTTGCGTTTCACGAAAACCACTCGCTTTTCTAGCCAACACAGCTAACTGATTCAACGACTATAGCTGAATATTTACATATTTTATCCACTCAATTTCCAGCTGACCGCCCCGTACTCTTGTGCAGACAATTTGACGAATCTCTCCTCGCAAGGAAGACCGATTCCCGGAAACAACTCTTCAGGTGAGGTGTTCAAGATTGATTTGTTTTTACGAATCAAATAGGGCAATTGGGGAAGAGGTAAACAGGTAAACGAGACAAAACAATGACGTGTCGGAAAGGGGTCAAGGGACACAAAAAGAGGGGAAAGTTTGCTCAAACCGGCGCTGTTTTCATGATCTGAAATGTCTAGAGAAAGCATTGGTTTGGCTGCCAGCCAGACACTTCATACAATTAGCAATCCTTTTGTACTTTTGCATAAATCCAGGTTTGAATCGAGTAGAATGATTCTATGATCCAAAACTAAAATTGACCTTGTTAGTATAGGCTTTGTTCATTGAAAGGAGAAAAGAGAACATTTCTAATACATCCAGATCAAATTTTGTGGTCAAGAAGAGAAGGAGAGAAGAGGGAAAGCATTGAGATTGGCTGGCAGCCGGTAGTCGGAGTCGGGGGAGCTGGCTGGCTAGGCTGAGAGGGTTTGTCTATTCCGACCGGGAGTGTCTGTCTCCTCTCTCGGAGACACTTTGTGTGGTGTATTGCCCCTTCTCTGCCCTTATTTATTTGTTGGGGAAACCTGTTTATAAGAGAAAGTCATGTGATGGTCAGATATCCCGCTCGTTTCTCGTCACAATCACCCTTCTTTGCCATTTCATTACCTTGTAACCTTTTGTTCTTCGTTTCTTTCCCCCTAGTATTCGATGATTTTCAAACTTCAAATTTTTCAAGCCGATGTTAGACTGGAGTAAAGAAGGTTAGTAATGGATTAGGAATTGCTTATTATTGCTATCTATTTACTCATTATCATAAACAAATAACTTTTGACAATGAAAGACGAAAACGAAGACAATGAAACCAAGGCAGGAGGTGGTCTGGTTGGCTGGCTTGGCTGGCTGGCTTGGCTGGCTGGCTTGGCTTAGCTAATCAAATTTTTAAATCTTTTTAACTTTAACTAGTCTAAGAATCTAGAAAACGTTGATTTTCCTGAAATAATTTCATTGTTGAATGATCGCCTTCCCTTTTCAAGAAGTTGAGTCAATCAGCTGATCGAATCGAATCCATCAAAAGAGAACGGATCGATCGAATCATTTTCTCTTTTTTATCTCATAAAAGCTCTCTTTTCTTTTCTCTTTTCATTATCAGGAGATCTCAAATTTCACTTTTTTATATACAAAACCGGCACATCTTTCCGAAAAACGAAAAAAAAACGCTTCATGGCTATCCATGATTGATAGGAAAGCTCATTTTCAAAAGGCTACTTGAAACAAAGTTTAAATAAAAAATAAAATAAAATTTTCCAGACTACAACTGAATATCTTAATTTTCTAAAGCTAGAAGACAGCTAGAAGACAGCTAGAAGACAACTTGAAGACAGCTAGAAGACAACTAGAAGACAACTAGAAGACTCCTTTTTCTGTCTTGATTTTTCGCACGCAATTTTAAAAGATATTCAGCTAAAAACTTGTCTAATGCCAAGAGCAAAAGGGATTCTGAATTTGAGTTGAAACTGTAAGAACTTAAAAAAACCATTTAGGTGGTTCAGGCCACTCAGGCTCACCCGTCGGAATGGGAATCCCAGGCGCGATGCAATTCCGCCACGTCGTCTCCTCGCCAGCTCCCTCCTCATCGGATATGGATCAATTGGTAAACTTTATGATATAATAGTAAGCTGTGGATATAATAGGTCTCTGATATATAGGTACCGTATTTACTCTATTAAAAGCCCCGGGGCGTTTATTTTTTCGATACCCCTCAAGTTTATTAGAGGGGGGTGGCGTTTATTGAAGGGGGCTTTTATTTTTCGATAGCCCTCTGCAGGCGTACTTAGACACATAATTGACGTTGATTCAACGATAAAAAAAAATAGTAGTGCAAATAAAGCATTCGAGATCATAAGTCACTTTCATCGAATTATTTCAACAACAAAAATTAACAGAACTAAGAATGTAAGAAAAACAGCATTTCAAGCAATTGATATATCAGAATCGTATTCAGCCTCTTGTCTAGGCTCACGAAAATTTGCTCATTCGATGCTTGGGACTAAAATTTTACCGATTTCCTTATCCAATCGGGCACTCTGAATTGCTTTAAACCCGGAAGGTATAGGGCCATCTGAGCGGAAGCAGTGAATAAGATGATCTTCTTTTCCATCCTGATCAATTCCTACTCCGCAGATTTTAAATGACTCGGCAATCATTTCTGAAGATAGTTTTTCCCAAGACGAAGCAATCCATTCCAGATAAACATCCATTGTAGGAGGTTTGGGGTTACCACCACCAGATCCATCAGCTTTCGATTTCGTCAATTCGGGTGCCGTTGATAGGATCCAATCTTCAATTGATGTCGAATATATTTTTTAAAGGGAGGATTCCAGGAAACATCTGCATATCGAACAAATTTAGTCGTGCCTCCAGGTACAAAAAAGCAGTCTAGCTTTAGTTTTGTTCAACAATTTATACTTTGAAGTACCGCCCCAAGTGTCCCCAAAAAAGTTTCCCCAAACTGTCCCCAAAGAGAAAATCTAATATGGAGAGTTTAAACAATTTCGTCTGTAACAGAATTTTAAAAAAGCTCTAGAGAAAAGAAAACGAAGCATTTCAGTATCAAAAGAGTTCCCATATGGGGACACTTTGGGAAACTTTTAGGGACACTTGGGGCGGTACTTCAAAAGTATACGGCAAATCAACAAAACGTAAAAATGATTGCTTAGAAAGTTTAAAAGAGAAACCAAAAAATTATCAAAAAAGTCGCTATTCCTATGTAGTTTGTAACTTTTTCGTACTTGGGGGGGCGTTTATTGGAGGGGCGTTTATT